ATCCACCTTGTTTCCTCATCACTGAGCAAAGAGAAAAACGATTTTAACCAAAGTGAAAATCAAAGTTTTATAATCAGCAGAGGGAAGAAAAGCTGCAGCTGGGAGGAGCCAGAAATCCACTGGATGGTTAACAGCATGAAATGATCAGGCAGCCATCTTGTTTGACAGCAAGGCTGAGATTTCAGGTCGACTCCCAGTGAGGAAATCTCAAACTGAAACGTTTTCAAAAAACTGTCAAGGAAATCAAGGGAGAAAAAAGAATCAATTTAAATCAGGCATGAAAAATCCAGAGCAGCAGAAAAACCATCGAGACGAACTGAGAGACGAACTGGGAGACAAACTGAGACAAAGTGGGAGACAAACTGAGACAAACTGGGAGACAATGTGGGATCATAAAGGAGGAAGTTCTGGAGTTGTGAGCAGAACCCACCAGGTTGTTGCTGCGGCAGTAGAAATGACTGTAGGCGTTCCGCCGACTGGGCAGAGCAAACAGGAAGTACTTCAGCTGTCCTTCCTGTCAGACAGAGCAGAGCATCACTGCAGAACCTCAGAACCGCCTGGCGGACCTTCTGTCTGCCTGGAGGAGGTTCTGCTGGTACCTTCGGGGTTCTGTAGGACAGACGTAGAGAGTTCACTTCACTCCAGGCTTCAGGAACATCTGGACAACAACGGAGCAGAACTCAGATCAGGAACAGTCAGAACCAGAACCACAATAGGGCAATCGACCCGGCGATAAGGAGCCCCCGCCTCTAGACGGCGGCGCCGCCATAAAGACCCGTTCTCTAACCCAGGATGGGGACGGACGTGTCCTGGACGTCTCTCAGTGTCCTGACGTTGTGTCTGATGAAGTGATGGTTCAGGACGCTCCGCCTCCTCTCTGGATCATCTGTGAACTGTTGGACATCGGATCAGCGGTGAGGACAGAGATCTCCGTGACAACAAGCAGCTGAGCTGTTCAGACCTGTCTGGTTTGGGCATCGATGAGGTCAAAGAACGCCCTGACTGTGGCGAGGACCAGCTCTTTGCACCTGCAACAGAGACACATGGGGTTTGAGACTCCTGACGCAAAAGCCAGGCGAGGCGGTGGGCGAGGCGGTGGGCGAGGCGGCGGGCGAGGCGGCGGGAGGCGGCGGGCGAGGCGGCGGGCGAGGCGGCGGGAGAGGCGGCGGGCGAGGCGGCGGGAGAGGCGGCGGGAGAGGCGGCAGGCGAGGCGGCGGGCGAGGCGGCGGGAGAGGCGGCGGGAGAGGCGGCAGGCGAGGCGGCGGGCGAGGCGGCGGGAGAGGCGGCGGGCGAGGCGGCGGGAGAGGCGGCGGGCGAGGCGGCGGGAGAGGCGGCGGGAGAGGCGGCGGGAGAGGCGGCGGGCGAGGCGGCGGGAGAGGCGGCGGGCGAGGCGGCGGGAGAGGCGGCGGGAGAGGCGGCGGGAGAGGCGGCGGGCGAGGCGGCGGGAGAGGCGGAGGGAGAGGCGGCCGGAGAGGCGGCCAGCGAGGCGGCGGGCGAGGCGGCGGGAGAGGCGGCGGGCGAGGCGGCGGGAGAGGCGGCGGGTGAGGCGGCGGGAGAGGCGGCAGTCGACTTACCAGACGATGGAGAGGTGATCGGTGGAGACCCAGGTCCGGGGAACCGCCGTCACCTGACACAGATCACAAGGCTCAGCACAGGAAGGTGCAGCGACAGGACAAACTGAACATTACAAACCGGCCGTACCACCAGAGACAGCTTGTTGGGGTCTCCTGGGGGACAGGGCAGGGACGTCAGCCCAGACCGGACCTGGTAGTCACGGTAACCGCCTCCCACCGACAGCACGGTGATGTTCCTGAGCTTGGCCGCCTGATTCACCCACTTCCTTCTCACCGCCGTGTAGAAATCTAGCAAGAGGGTTAGAACTGAGTTACCACGGCGACCAGCATCTCGGCGGCCGGCACCACGCCGTCCGGCTCGGCTCACCCAGCAGGTGTGGGTCCAGGGCCAGAACCGGGGCCTTGTGGGGGGAGGCCTGAGTGATGATGAGGCTGACCAGGTGAGGGTTGAAGCGGGGCAGAGTGAACAGCGCCCGGGCCAGAACGCCCCCCATGGAGTGGCCGACCAGCGCCACGCTCTGCGGCGGCGCCTGCAGCTGCTGCGGGGAAAACGGACCTTTATGTGACAAACAGCTGAACAGAACTTTATGTTCACAATTTATTTATTTACATTTGATTTTAGATAAGAATAAATAATATTTTAAAACTTATTATTTTGTATTTATGTATTACTAATTTGTGATTTTTTTATTTCTTCTTTAATATCATTTAGTTTTCTTCTGGCCACGTTTCCATCACCAGTTAAATGTGTTACTTCCTGTTGGTTTGTCAACTAAAACCTGCTGAGGTCAGAGGTCGGACCGGACCGGTACCAGCCGGTTCTGACCTTGTATAGCCGCAGGATGGCCTTGATGCTCTCATGCAGGAAGTGGGTCTGCCGGAGCAAACTGCCGCCGTAAAGCGCCACCAGCTCCTCGTTGAAGTCCACGGTGAAGACGTTGAGATGGACGCCTCCCTCCATGTTCTCCGCCTTCCTCAGGGCCACCGAGCCCAGAGAGCGGGCTGCGTCACATGACGGGGAGAGCCAATCAGAGAGCAGGAAGCCAGGCATGAAAAAACCTTTCAACCTGTGGGAATGGATGGTTCCCCTCACCTTGCTTGTAGCTGCCGGCGTTTCCGGGCAGGAAGAGCACGGGCGCGCCGGTGAGTTTGAGCGCCCGGGTCTCCTGAGCGTACAGGCCCTCGCCGTAGAGGTAGAGGCCGTATGCCGGGTAAAGTCTGGCCACGCGTCTGGGCAGAGACACGCGCTGCCAACAAAAACCACAGACAACGGAAAATTACTCATTCAAAACAGTTTCTGTTTGCACAAAGTCGTTCTCGGCTTTTCTGAAAAAGGTTGACGTACTGAAGAGGGCCGATGGAAACACACTGAATGTTTCGGTCACCTGACCAATCAGCTGTTTTGCGTCTTCCTGCAGGTGAACGTGTAACATCAGCTGCATTAACACGAACATCACGGCGCCTTTAACAGCCTTACTGTTGCCAACTCAGCAATTGTGTTGCTACATTTCCAACATTTAAACAAAAAAATTGGCATCAGTTAAAATGGGAATCGGTGTGCAATCGGTGCATCGTTACTGCTGACCCGAGGTTATCACCTGGTGTGACTAATGAATCTATATCTGATGAAATCATTGATTTGCTCCAAACCAATAGATGAAATCGATTCTGGTTCACTTTCTTTATTGTAAGTGAAACTGGAACAGTTTCGGCTCATTGACAGCTGGAGGGAATCGGCCACCAGGACGTGTTCAGTGACAGTCGCCCTGCTGTTGGCATCTCTTTGTTGCCGTATTGAGCAACGATTCAGACCAAAGTGATCAGCCGGTCAGGATGTTTGCAGATCTCAGAAACCATCCGGGTTCTGATCTGCTTCTCTTCTGCTCCGACCTGCCCAGGAGTTTTAAGGGGTTCTTCATCCAGAACCCCGCTTATCTGATTCTGTGACCTGACAGCAGCTCCCTGGACCCAGCAGAACTCCGGGGAACCGGCCAGGACTCACCCGGTACTCCGGATATTCAAACATGTAGGTCATGCTGCATCGGTTCTCCTCGCAGCCGGTCAGCAGCTCCCGCAGGCCGACCAGCAGCAGCCCCAGCGCCGCCCCGTACAGCGCCACCGCGGCGGCCCTCATGGTTCCGTCGAACCGGACTCTCCGAACCTACTGCGGCCTCATCTGTCGGTCCGCCTGGTCAGGGTGTCACCGCCAGTCCAGTCGAACCAGTTCACAACTCAGCCTCACAGGGTGCACTCCTTTACAGTCAGCCGGCGAGGAACCGGGCAGAAAGGTGGGCGTGATTTGGGGGAGGGGGGCAGCTGATAACCAAGTGACCTGATGTAAGCAGGGCTGATTGGAGCTAAACCTGGCCCCTTATAAAGACGAGTAACGTTGTTAAATCGATATAACGTGATGTGTGGGAACCAGGAAGTGTTCGACCTTAAATGACGTCACAAAGGTAATTCTGCTGAGAAAAAACCGCCTTTCTCTGAGCTGCTATTTGGATAACTCCTCCCACACCGCCCCTTGCCCGAGTTTGTCCACCGGCTGACTACAAAAGATGCGCCCACTCAGGGTGTTTAACCAATCAGAGAAAAGGAACTTGTGACGATTGACCAATAGCAGATCAGCTACTGAGTGACGATTTGTGCGCGTGAAAGTGTCAGTTGGATTCAATAATTCCCACCTAAAACATTATTTACGGTATTAGGAAGATGTTTTTTCTGAGTCTCCTGCTGTAACCGGTGGAAGGACTGGATTAAAACCAGCTGAACGACCGGGCCCAGTGCAACTGTTAACTGGTTTTACCCAGATGAAAACCAGACCAGTTTCTTATCATGAAACAAAAATTTTTATTTTTTTTTTATGTTTTAACTTCAGTTTTACTTGAAATAGGAATTAAAAGATGTACAGGTTTCAAGCTGTTCATGGTGAGTCCAGCAGGTTGATTCAGAATCTCATCTCATCATGTATCCATCATCTGAGAGGCGGGTCCATCACAGAGACCAGTTAAACCAGTTAAACCAGTCAGGACACATCAGGAGAACTGGGAGAGGCGCAGAGCTCTGAAAACCACCATCTTCCTCCCATTAAAGGACTTTATTCAGGAAATTATTACTTTACACATGGAATAAAACACACAGAAAACGTCATTGCGTAGCTGCTCTCCTATTGGTCTATTCTCGCAGGTTCCAGCTCTGATTGGTTGAATCTTTAAGTTCTGATTGAACTGAAATCTGTTGCTCAAAGTTTCTTGAAAACAACAATAAAAGGAAATGGTGGAATATTATTTTAATGTAGAAACAACAAGGAGGTCCTGTTCTGCCAGAACTGGGTCGTAGAACTAGAACCAGTCAGCAGCAGGTCTGGGTCAGAACTCCATGTTCAGCCTTCAGTTCACGTTAAATCCAGTCAGCAGGTGATTATGTCATCCGCTCGGAACCGGACCCAAATCCAGTCCAGGCGGTTCTGGTTCCGTCCCTCTGGGCTCCTGGTGAGGAGAAGCGGCCGGATCGATCCTCAGTACCGGCCCCTCGGCCTAGTCCAGCAGCTTGGAGTGTTCTATTCGGGTGATGGTCCAGTCTGCAGCGACACCTTCGGTGAACTCCCTCTGGAACCTGAACCAGAACAACAACAGAACCTCCTCAGGTCCGGATCGCTCAGCGTGAGGAACGGTTCTGCTCGGGTTCTGGTACCGACTCGTAGCTGGCGGTGAGCAGCCGTTTGACCTCCGTCTTTCCGTCGCTGATGGACACTGTGAACATCTGGGTTCCCTCCATGCTGTCGTCAGGGAGACTGACGCTGGTCAGGTACCAGAACCGCATCAGGATGCTGACGATCTTCTTGTCTGCAGCCCGACACGGGGGAACCAGAACCACAGGAGAGATTAAACTGTTCTGACATCATTAGATGAACTGAACGCGCTGACGTCACTGGTTGTTTTTACAGATGGGGTTTCCAACCTGCGGCCCCCGGGCCACATGTGGCTCTGTGGTACGGTGGCCCACAGGTTCAAATTTTAACACAAAACCAAAGACACACAAATAAACAAAAGCTGCAACAGCAAGAATAGAATAGAAGTCCTCCAGGCCACCAGGGGGCATCTGGAGTTGGTAATATTAGCTCCGTAAATATCAGAAAAGAATGAGGTATAGACTGTGTCCAAATTCAAGGTCTGCATCATCCTTTGAAGGACGGATTTGTAAGCCAATTATGTCACAGGGTGACGACAAGGCCTGTCCAAATTCGAAGACTGCGTCACGTGTGGCCTGCAAATGGAGAAGGACCTCGCTGCAGCAAACAGGAAGGGAGGGACAGGTCCATTTTCGTTTCCTCATATGGAAATGGGACCATTGCACTCCACCTTTAGGAAGGATTTTCACTCTCAGCTTGTATTTGATTTTCTCTCTTTTATTTACTTCAACTCGCAGTTTTTAACTAATTCTGCTCCTTAGTCTGATACTGCCTCTAGTGGTGTGGGGTGGTACACAACTAACATAATTACATTACTGATCAGAATACCACAGTCTTTATGATTTATTATTAATTCTGGCATTACTGGAACCATAATCCCTCACAAAACACCACACCTTTAGAAATGTGCAATACACATTTGAACATTTTAGAATCAAACTAACAGATTTATTTTTTACTAATAATACAGAAATCCGGAGTGATACATAACTAAAAAACAAACTTCGGCTTTGTTGTATTTTTCTTCGCTTCATGCTGTCATGGTTGCTAGGCAACATAAGTTAAGCTGAGGTGGGGCGGAAACGGTTGGAGGAGGATAGACCTGTGCAAATACACTGCTTCTCTCTAACCCTAACCCTGGTAGACCCAGGTAGACCCAGGTAGACCCAGGTAGACCCAGGTAGACCCTGGTAGACCCTGGTAGACCCTGGTAGACCCTGGTAGACCCAGGTAGACCCTGGTAGACCCAGGTAGACCCTGGTAGACCCTGGTAGACCCAGGTAGACCCTGGTAGACCCTGGTAGACCCTGGTAGACCCTGGTAGACCCAGGTAGACCCTGGTAGACCCTGGTAGACCCAGGTAGACCCAGGTAGACCCTGGTAGACCCTGGTAGACCCAGGTAGACCCTGGTAGACCCTGGTAGACCCTGGTAGACCCAGGTAGACCCTGGTAGACCCTGGTAGACCCAGGTAGACCCTGGTAGACCCTGGTAGACCCAGGTAGACCCTGGTAGACCCAGGTAGACCCTGGTAGACCCTGGTAGACCCTGGTAGACCCTGGTAGACCCAGGTAGACCCTGGTAGACCCTGGTAGACCCAGGTAGACCCTGGTAGACCCTGGTAGACCCTAGTAGACCCAGGTAGACCCAGGTAGACCCTGGTAACCCAGGTAGACCCTGGTAGACCCTGGTAGACCCAGGTAGACCCTGGTAGACCCTGGTAGACCCAGGTAGACCCTGGTAGACCCTGGTAGACCCAGGTAGACCCTGGTAGACCCAGGTAGACCCTGGTAGACCCTGGTAGACCCTAGTAGACCCTGGTAGACCCTAGTAGACCCAGGTAGACCCTGTTAGACCCTGGTAGACCCAGGTAGACCCTGGTAGACCCAGGTAGACCCTGGTAGACCCAGGTAGACCCTGGTAGACCCTGGTAGACCCAGGTAGACCCTAGTAGACCCAGGTAGACCCTGTTAGACCCTGGTAGACCCAGGTAGACCCTGGTAGACCCAGGTAGACCCAGGTAGACCCTGGTAGACCCTAGTAGACCCTGGTAGACCCTAGTAGACCCAGGTAGACCCAGGTAGACCCTGGTAGACCCAGGTAGACCCTGTTAGACCCTGGTAGACCCAGGTAGACCCTGGTAGACCCAGGTAGACCCTGGTAGACCCTGGTAGACCCAGGTAGACCCTGGTAGACCCAGGTAGACCTGGTAGACCCAGGTAGACCCTGGTAGACCCAGGTAGACCCTGGTAGACCCAGGTAGACCCTGTTAGACCCTGGTAGACCCAGGTAGACCCTGGTAGACCCAGGTAGACCCTGGTAGACCCAGGTAGACCCTGGTAGACCCTGGTAGACCCTGGTAGACCCAGGTAGACCCTGGTAGGCCCAGGTAGACCCTGGTAGGCCCAGGTAGACCCAGGTAGACCCAGGTAGACCCAGGTAGACCCTGGTAGACCCTGGTAGACCCAGGTAGACCCTGGTAGACCCAGGTAGACCCTGGTAGACCCAGGTAGACCCTGGTAGACCCTGGTAGACCCAGGTAGACCCTGGTAGACCCAGGTAGACCCTGGTAGACCCTGGTAGACCCTGGTAGACCCAGGTAGACCCTGGTAGACCCAGGTAGACCCTGGTAGACCCAGGTAGACCCTGGTAGACCCAGGTAGACCCAGGTAGACCCTGGTAGACCCTGGTAGACCCAGGTAGACCCTGGTAGACCCAGGTAGACCCTGGTAGACCCAGGTAGACCCTGTTAGACCCTGGTAGACCCAGGTAGACCCTGGTAGACCCAGGTAGACCCTGGTAGACCCAGGTAGACCCTGGTAGACCCTGGTAGACCCTGGTAGACCCAGGTAGACCCTGTTAGACCCCTGGTAGACCCAGGTAGACCCTGGTAGACCCAGGTAGACCCTGGTAGACCCAGGTAGACCCTGGTAGACCCTAGTAGACCCTGGTAGACCCTAGTAGACCCAGGTAGACCCTGTTAGACCCTGGTAGACCCTGGTAGACCCTGGTAGACCCAGGTAGACCCTGGTAGACCCAGGTAGACCCTGGTAGACCCTGGTAGACCCAGGTAGACCCTGGTAGACCCTGGTAGACCCAGGTAGACCCTGGTAGACCCAGGTAGACCCTGGTAGACCCAGGTAGACCCTGGTAGACCCTGGTAGACCCTGGTAGACCCAGGTAGACCCTGGTAGACCCAGGTAGACCCTGGTAGACCCTGGTAGACCCAGGTAGACCCTGGTAGACCCAGGTAGACCCTGGTAGACCCAGGTAGACCCTGGTAGACCCTGGTAGACCCAGGTAGACCCTGGTAGACCCAGGTAGACCCTGGTAGACCCTGGTAGACCCTGGTAGACCCAGGTAGACCCTGTTAGACCCTGGTAGACCCAGGTAGACCCTGGTAGACCCAGGTAGACCCTGGTAGACCCAGGTAGACCCTGGTAGACCCTGGTAGACCCAGGTAGACCCTGGTAGACCCAGGTAGACCCTGGTAGACCCAGGTAGACCCAGGTAGACCCAGGTAGACCCTGGTAGACCCTGGTAGACCCAGGTAGACCCAGGTAGACCCTGGTAGACCCTGGTAGACCCTGGTAGACCCAGGTAGACCCTGTTAGACCCTGGTAGACCCAGGTAGACCCTGGTAGACCCAGGTAGACCCTGGTAGACCCAGGTAGACCCTGGTAGACCCTGGTAGACCCTGGTAGACCCAGGTAGACCCTGGTAGACCCAGGTAGACCCTGGTAGACCCTGGTAGACCCTGGTAGACCCTGGTAGGCCCAGGTAGACCCTGGTAGACCCAGGTAGACCCTGGTAGACCCAGGTAGACCCAGGTAGACCCTGGTAGACCCTGGTAGACCCAGGATGCAGACCTTGAATTCAGACACATCTATCATGCATCTTTACTTTCTTCCTCCAACTCTTCCTGGCCATCCTGTCTTTACAAACGTCTGGTCCCAGATAGTCTGGTGATCGGCTCCCCCTGGTGGTCTGGGGGAGCCGATCCAGTTGGCAGAATTTTAAATTTGCTGTTTTTCATATTAGCTTCTATTTCCAGCTGCACGTTTCTATTTCTGTTGCATTTGTTTCTTCTCTGTTTTGGAGTTTGTGTCATAGCTCAGCTCCTGCACTGTCACTTAAAGAAAAACCAAACAAGAGGTTTTAGTTCATGAAGGCTGGTTTTATCTCCATGACAGATCTACAGATATATCATAGAAATTTTATTTTTTTCTAAAACCTGAAAATATAAATTAATTTTAGTTTGATTTTGTTCCCTTTCAAAATCAAATAAATAATTTAGCAATATAATTATAAAACCTTTTTTTTGCAGCTCTATTAGCATTTCATTTTGTAGCATCGGGGGAAGAAGTGGTTAGAACCAACACAAATCCCATTTACAATGAATTTATTATTTAAAATTCTCCAAAAAGACAATATTTCCCATGCTCCCATTGTTCCCTTATCACACGCTCAAAGTTGCAGTAGGTACAGGAAAAGTTTCTGTCCACCAGGAAAGTTCCTTCCCATCAGATGCTCCTCAGCCTTCAGATCAAATATTTATTCAGAAAAGACCCTCAGATTGGTTTCTTTCCTTTTAAATAATCTAAACCAGGGATCACCAACCTTTTTGAGACTGGGAGCAACTTCACGGGTACAGAGCAACACGAAGGGCACTTGTTTGATGCAGTCTTTATATATATATATATATATATATATATATATATATATTATAATATATATATATATATATATATACAGTTAGGGCCAGAAATATTTGGACAGTAACAATATTTGTGAGTTGGGCTCTGCATGCCACCGCATTGGATTTGAAATGAAACCTCTACAACAGAATTCAAGTGCAGATTGTAACGTTTAATTTAAAGGGTTGAACAAAAATATCTGATAGAAAATGTAGGAATTGTACACATTTGTTTACAAACACTCCACATTTTAGGAGCTCAAAAGTAATTGGACATATAAACATAACCCAAACAAAAAAGTTTTCTCTCAATATTTTGTTGCGAATCCTTTGGAGGCAATCACTGCCTTAAGTCTGGAACCCATGGACATCACCAAACGCTGGGTTTCCTCCTTCTTAATGCTTTGCCAGGCCTTTACAGCCGCAGCCTTCAGGTCTTGCTTGTTAGTGGGTCTTTCCGTCTGAAGTCTGGATTTGAGCAAGTGAAATGCATGCTCACTTGGGTTAAGATCTGGTGATTGACTTGGCCATTGCAGAATATTCCACCTTTTTGCTCTCATGAACTCCTGGTAGCTTTGGCTGTATGCTTGGGGTCATTATCCATCTGTACTGTGAAGCGCCGTCCGATCAACTTTGCAGCATTTGGCTGAATCTGGGCTGACAGTATATCCCGGTACACTTCAGAATTCATCCGGCTACTCTTGTCTGCTGTTATGTCATCAATAAACACAAGTGACCCAGTGCCATTGAAAGCCATGCATGCCCATGCCATCACGTTGCCTCCACCATGTTTTACAGAGGATGTGGTGTGCCTTGGATCATGTGCCGTTCTCTTTCTTCTCCAAACTTTTTTCTTCCATCATTCTGGTACAGGTTGATCTTTGTCTCATCTGTCCATAGAATACTTTTCCAGAACTGGGCTGGCTTCTTGAGGTGTTTTTGGGCAAATTTAACTCTGGCTGTCTATTTTTGGAATTGATGAATGGTTTGCATCTACATGTGAACCCTTTGTATTTGCTTTCATGGAGTCTTCTCTTTACTGTTGACTTAGAACAGATACACTACTTCTCTGAGAGTGTTCTGGACCTCAGTTGATGTTGTGAACGGTTCTTCTTCACCAAAGAAAGTATGCGGCGATCATCCACCACCGTTGTCTTCCGTGGACGCCCAGGCCTTTTTGAGTTTCCCAAGCTCACCAGTCAATTCCTTTTTCCTCAGAATGTACCAGACTGTTGATTTTGCTACTCCAAGCATGTCTGCTATCTCTCTGATGGATTTTTCCTTTTTTTAAGCCTCAGGATGTTCTGCTTCACGTCAATTGAGAGCTCCTTTGACCGCATGTTGTCTGGTCACAGCAACAGCTTCCAAATGCAAAACCACACACCTGGAAACCCCAGACCTTTTAACTACTTACTTGATTACAGGTTAACGAGGGAAAGGCCTTTTGAGTTACTTGCAGCCTTTAGAGTCCATTGTCCAATTACTTTTGGTCCCTTGAAAAAGAGGAGGCTCTGCATTACAGAGCTATGATTCCTAAACCCTTTCTCCTATTTGGATGTGGAAACTCTCATATTGCAGCTGGGAGTGTGCACTTTCAGCCCATATTATATATAAATTGTATTTCTGAACATATTTTTGTCAACAGCTAAAATAACAAAACCTGTGTCACTGTCCAAATTTCTGGCCCTAACTGTATATATATATATATATATATATATATATATATATATAACCAAAGCAAACTGATGGATTGTTGCAGTAACACCTGCAGCTGTACAACACTGAGTACCTTGAAAATTTCCTTTAAATAAAAAAGAAAAAGAGTTATAGTTTTATTATCTAACCATCTGTTCTATTAGCAAAATTGTGGAAAATAAAATAGCTTTTGTGTCAAAACATATTAAACACACACAGCTGTCAGTCTGATGCGTGAGGTGGGGAACAACAAAGCCCAAGTCTTATTGGTCAGTTTGCTTTTATTAATTTAACGGCTTTGCGTTTTTCTGCAAGCTAAAAATGAACGAGTTGGGTTTGAACCTCCTGTTGTTCTACGTTCAGCCTGAGCTTCTGACAGTCTGCGCGGTTCTGGCGGGTCGCCGGTTTATTCGCTTTTTTTGTGGTTTTGCGAACCGAACAGCTGACGGGTCCCGCTGGCTGACACCAGCAGATGTGGAGAAAATAAAGGTCCAACACAAAACTGTCACTGCACCTGATCTGCAAGAGCACAAGCACTTCTCCAATGTGCAAAAATCAGCACAAACCTGAACCAAGAGCAGCGTACTTTATCCAGACGATGCTAAATAATAAAGACATGGAAGCGAAGCCTCCTCATGTGGTTCACGGAAAGAGGTTGTGTTGATTCCCAGGTGTGCACTACGAATAAGATGTTTTTGGCACAATTTATTTAATTTTTCTTCACAATTTTGTTAATAGTAAATAGGGTTAAATAATAAAAACTCCAGAAGTTATTCTTTTCTTTCTTTACTTAAAGGAAAATGTCAAGGTACACAGAGTGCAGCTGCAGGTGCTGCTGCGCTCCGATAGTTTCCTGCAGGCGCCTGCGCAGTTCTGAACTTCAACAGCAGGAAAGAGTTTTATACGTAAAGTAATTTATTTGAAACGTTTTTATCATTTTCCTCTTTTGAACTCTAAATATAAACAAACATCATTACTTCAATGTAAAAACATTTAATTAAATTATTTTTTGGTAGTGCTCCCTAATGATAATGCTATTTTAGAAGTGGCTCCGCGGGCGACTGAAAAGGTCCCTCCGGACGACCGGGTGCCCGCGGGCACCAGGTTGGTGACCCCTGATCTAAACACTTAAAGTTAGAAATTAATTAGTGTCTTTCAAAAAATAAAAACAGTTTGTAAGAAATCATTTGTGTTTTTTATTAATAATAAATGAATAAAAAGCCCTGTTAGGAATAAATGTGCTGTTGTCAGTGTTTTGTTTGTGCTGCCGATCTTAGCTCACCGTTGTGGTCTAAGAAGACGGCCATGTCTCCCAGCATCGTGTACATCATGTCCTGCGGCTCGGCACACAGAGCTCTCTGGTAGCTGCACGGCAACGAGCCGCACTTCTGCTTCAGCTTCCTGACCAGCTGCAGGACAGAGGAGGAACATGATGAAGATGCTGCTGCTGACCCACTGAGATCATCATCATCTTCATACTCACATCTTTAGCGACGAGGCCCTCCAGAGCCTCAAACTGACACCGAGACAAAAGTCTGGAGACGTGGGAGAAAGCCTGGAGGACAGAGGACAGAGTCCAAATCACTGAGGACAAAACCAAGATGGAGGACAGAGATGACGCTGGTGGATGGATGTGACAGAACATAACATAACATTGTTGTAAATATACCAGATTTATCAAAGGCCTCATTTCCATACAACAAACACAAGATACAAACATTCATATCATTTCCTTCAGAAAATTAAAAACAAATCTAATTAAAAAAACTATTTTAAGAATTTTATATCAAATGCTATGTAAGAACTATAAACTATCGATGCCACAATAAGAATAAAATGAAAATAATAATAATTATGATGATGATGATGTTGTGAACCGACCAGAACCCAGATCTGGTACCGGACCTGCTTCGCTCCCTGTGTGAACTCCTCGATGCTGAACTCTTCGTCCAAGTAGGTTCTGATCAAGAAGTAGCAGATCCGGGTCCGGATCCAGATGAACGGGTTCGGGATGCCGAACACCACCACCTTCGGCTTCGGGTGGTTCTGATCGCGCTCCGAGCAGTAGGCCCGGCTGGCCGGGAGGTTACCCGCCCGGACCAGACAGCACCGCTGACTCCGAACCAGATTCTGGTTGAAAACGAACCGAGCCAGAGTGAAGGATGAAGGCAGCCGACGATAACATCTGAACAGGACGGACATCTTTACCGTCCGCTTCACTGCTGGTTCCGACCCGAAACACGTTTTTTCCCGTCAGAAACCCAGCAGAAACCAGAGCCGTGACCCAGCTTCACCTTCACTAAACTATTTGTGCCATTTATTCAAATAACATTAATGTTTTTTTTATGTATCTTTAGCTGGTTCTTCCTCCATGTGGGGAACAATAACAAGTAACACCAGCGGAAGCTGTGATCCCGTAACTTCCGTGAATAGATCATTGAGTCCTAAGTTACTTTAAATGGAGCTCCAGGAAAGAGTAGCGGTTCCGATTTTTACTGAAGTGGACCGGGACGTGTTTCTGAACCAGGTTTATCCCGGGGTAAGACGGAACGGCTCCGGTGGGCTCCAGAAAACGCGAGGACGTTTTCAGTGCAACACCCGAGTTTCACTGGTCACAGCAGAAACAGAGCAACTGACCTGATTTCATTACTAATGTCGCTGACAGGAAATATGACGCTATTAGCAACATCGGATGCTTTAAAGACTAAAATGATAATAACTACCTATTTTTAATATAAAGCTTATGAAGCAGGTCATGTTAGAAAAGGCTTCAACAAATACATCAATGCAGGCCCAGATCATGATTCCTCCACCACCATGCTTGAGAGTTGGTTTCAGGCTGGATATGGATGAACTTGTAGTGTCTTGTTGGTTCTGATTGGTGCGGTGTGTCCCTGTCCTCCAGCGCTGCCCTGCGGTCCTGCGGGGCGTGGATCTGGGCCCATGTGTGGACAGGTGGACGGTTGAATACCTGGCGATGACGGGAGGTCAGAGGGAGGTGAAGGTCCACGTCTCCTCTGTACCTCAGATGGATTTCCTGCATAAAAACTTCATCTACAGGTGAGCAACATCCAGAGCTTCAGCTGTGACGGAGGATCTGACCTCTGACCTTCTGGACGTTTTATCACCAGGACTCTGCCGTTCGATGAGTTCGTCAGGAGAGCAGCTGAGACCAAACACTCTGACTTCTTCCTGGCTGAGGTAGGATCGGATCAGCTGGATTAACTGCGGATCATTTTCCTGCACTGGGATAAACTGCTGGCTTTGGTTTCAGGAGGAGAGCTACTACCTCCGCTCATTGGGGACGATGCCCGGAAGGTAAACGACTGAAATGAGCTCAATGAGTGTAGCGTTTCCAGTCTGGCTGCCTTTGGGAGGATGATGATGATGAGGATGATGAGACATGAGTGATTAGACAGTGTGGTTCGTATTGGACATCGACAGCAGGAAGCTGAGGTGGAAACATGTTTATTTTATAAAGATGTCTGCGACAGGCAGGGCCTGCAGCTCCAAGCTGAACAGATTAAAGCTGATGGTTAAACTCGATCAGATGTTCGGAAGCAGTGATCCAAACAGCAGCTGCAGGCATCGCCATGTTGATCTCGCTGACTGTTGGTTCTGCTCTGAGTTTGCAATGCAACAAAGTCTGAGCGGGTCAGTTCTGGGTTTCAGATGTAGAGTTTCTGGGTTCTGATGGGCTGCTTGTCCGTTTTCCTCGGGTTGGTTCTGTCTCTGCAGGAACCCGCTGACCTGAGCAGACAATTCCCGGACCTGGCTGAGGACTTTCACACGCCGCAGTTCTTTGAGCCGGACCGGTTCTTCTCCAGTGTTTTCCGGATCAGCTCCTGTGGTCTGCAGCTGTGGACCCACTATGACGTGAGTTCTGGTCGGACCGGTCTCAGCAGCTTTAACGTCGAGCCAGCTGTTTTCAGATTGCTCTGTCGTTGAAGGTGATGGACAACCTGCTGGCTCAGGTCACAGGAAGGAAGAGGGTCGCCCTCTACAGGCCCCAGGATGCATTGCACCTCTACCTCACGGTGAGGTCCAATGAAAACCTGAACCTGATGCGTCCATGTTTAAACTCTGAGGAAAACAGGTTGAAGTGTCACTTTGCTGTTTCAACCCATAGGTGACAAATCAGAGGTTCTGGACATCGATGCTCCGGATCTGAAACGGTTTCCTGAGTTTATAAAAGCCACAAGATATGACTGCGTTCTGGAGCCTGGAGATCTGCTTTTCATCCCTGGTAGGAAAATCCAGATTTCTTCCAGAAACTCTGGATGAATCCAAACTAATGTCCCGTCCTCCCCAGCGCTGTGGTTCCATAACACCCTCGCTCTGCACTTTGGAGTCGGCGTTAACGTCTTCTGGCGCCACCTGCCTGCAGACGCGTATGACAAGAAGGACCCGTACGGCAATAAAGACCCGCTGGCCGCTGCTCAGGCGCTGCAGACTCTGGAGAGGGCGCTGCACGCTCTGGACGAGCTTCCGGCGGAGTACCGAGACTTCTACGGCCGGCGGATGGTCAAACGCATCCAGAACCGGACTTACTGCCACAATCCAGAGTCAGAAACTACAATACCCAGAAGTCTGTCCCATAAACCTGGATGAGTCTTTAAGGATCTATGAAGCAACAGAAACAGAGAATATCAGTTATTTCTTTGTATAAATGTTAGTAAAATTTCACTTCTTGGTTTAATTT